TATATATATATATATATATATATATATATATATATATATATATATTTCATAAAGTCCTAAGCCTAAGTTTATAGACTAAACTAAGGAGTAACACTCACTGAAATGTACCCGAAATGTACAGGATAAACTGGAGGTGCAGCCCAGAGGGAGAATGTTTACCCAACAAAAGCAAAGTCTTGGTGTTCCAAAGCATCTCAGGACCAAAAAAGGAGCTGAAGAGAAGCTCTGAAGTTAAGCATTGCTTACTCTTCCAGGGTAGCTGAGCACCATCCTTGGTGAGCCACAACCACCTGTAACTCCAGCTCCAGAAAACTGCCCTCTTAGAGCCTACACACACACACAAACACAAACAGACACACACAAACACACACACTCATGAATAAAAACAAAGCAAAACAAAAAAATTAAAAGAAAACTAACATTTACAAGAGGAAGCTTTGGTATTTTATTTTAAAAGTGTGTCTTTTAATTTTGTATCTTTCTGTCCTATTTGAATTTATAATAATTATGTAAAATACACACTAAAAAGGTAATGCTTTTAAGTACATGGCCTAATTATCTTTATGTTTAAAAAAAAAAAAACAGGAGGTGTCAAGGTAGTGAGATTGTGGCCCTTTTGTTTTTGTTCTACATTTCTGTGTTTTATAAAGATATTATGTGTTTCTAAGAGAAAACAACTACTTGCTCAGGAAGAGGGTAGAGGCAAAAAAGTAGAGTTCAGCGTTTAGAACTCTGTGCCAGAGTTCGAGCTAAATCCTCATTCAAACGGCTTATCATCTTTGTCTCTAAGGAAATGAGCTAGCTGAGACAAGGTAAATACACAATGGTGGAATGCTCAACCTCAAAGCTGCTCTCTCTTCCCTTATCAAAAGGCGCACAATAACCTTACCCCTACTGTCTCCGACTGACGAGTTGTAATCTCTCCAGACTGAAAATTCTTTGGAAAAGGTAGCGTTTCACAAACACCACTGTCTTTCGTTGTGTTGCTAAGATTATGACAGATTCTTAAAACACTTGTTGAATTACCGTACACCTCTTTTGACCCGGCCTGACTGTCCTCGAGACAACGGTGTTGTAAGAAACAAAACAAACTCGCACGCGAACAACATAACTGTCCTAAAGCTACTCAAATCTAACTCACACACTCTCAACTGAAAAAGTTTTAAGTATGTCCATATCCAGGGTCAACCGCTACACGGAGTTTACAAGTTTCAGTACCACGGCCGCAACCAGTACCAAGGAGAAAAGTCACACATCCCCCTTCCATGACCCCACCACCCAGGCACTAACTCCAGGTCTCAGGGTGCGGTGTGAAAGAAAAACAACCAAGCCCCTACGCGTCTCACAACCTGTAACTTTTCCCTAGTCCGATCGCCCGCCCTCCGCTCCGAAACCCTTAAAGCACAATTCCAAAGTCCCCGACCTGCTGCGAAGTGCAGGGGAGAAGACTTTCGTCCGGCCATGTCCTTCGCGTTCACGTTCGCTGCGTCCACCAACCTCTTCACCCGGGACACGTCCCCATTTCGACAGGCCTCCAGCAGCTCCCGCAGGGCCCCACTCACGGCTGGGACCCCCGGGCCGAGGCCCGCCGCCCCGGGTCCCAAAGTTGCTGTGGAGCCAACCCCGGCCACCTCGGGACTCTCCGCTAAGCTCGAGCCTGGCGAGGACGGGGAGGAAGACGAAGAAGATGTCGGGGAAGAAGTGGACGACGCGGAGTTGTTACCGCCACCGCCGGCTGGGCTGGGAGCGACCCCGACGGCGGCGGAAGCTGCCGGGACCGCGGCCGCAGCTGCCACCGCGCAGACGGCGCCGTCCACCGGGTCCGGAGATCGAGGCCTGTCGGGCGGGTCCCGGCTGCCATCCCCCTCCGGCAGCGCCAGGCCGTGCCGCGGGGAGGCGAAGGGCGCCAGGCCACCGGCCGTGGGCGAGGCTGGGGTGGGTCCCGGGGCCAGGCCCGGGCTGAGCGGCGGGGGAGGTGGCGGTGGCGGAGCCGAAGCCCCTGGGGCGGGCTGGAGCTGTTGTTGATGATGGTGGTGATGATGCTGAGAGCGACGCGACGCCGCCATCTTCCCACTCCCCCGGTACTGTCACTGCGGCAACGGCACCACCGCCCGCCCTCACTTCCGGCTTCTGGACCAATCAGGAGCCAACAAACCCGGAAGTGTTTCTGGCCGAAGTGGGTGGAGTCCGAGAAGAGGGCAGCTCAGGGAACAGCCAGCTTGGGGGCGTGGCTTTGTAGTTGAGAGGCGGGTTTTGTGACGCCCAGGCGGGCTGGCTGGGCAGATTTGAAAGCTACGACCAGCCACTTCCTGTCCGAGAAACTTCCAGCTTTCTTCACTTTCTGCGGATTGTTTTGGACTGCTCTAGTCTTTCCTCCGTCTGCCCTTTCTACTTCAGAAGCCGCTATTGAAGGGTAACTTGGTGCAAACGTGTGTCAAATGTCCTCGCCCGAAAGTGGAATTAAATAGTGCCCACTTCACAAAATTGTTTGCAGGGATTAAGTGAGCTAATGCATACAAAACGCTCTGAAGAATACATAACTAAAATTAGCACAGTTAATGCTGTGTTGGATCTCTCTACACCCGTTATCTGTTTGGTCTCGTTCTGACTCGGGATAGGAGGATAAGAGCAACTTATTCTATACGTGTGCGTTTGCACACTGTAGAAAGGAATCCGTAAACGCACACATTGCCATTAGCTCGGTTTTTTGTTCAGTGTTAAATCTGACTCAGAGTGCCTTGAGAGGAATGCCCGAAACCAGGCTGACTACCTGACCTGGGAGACAGGACTAAACTCTGGAATGATTGACTTCTTTTGTTCCGGTTTGCTGTCTGGGAGATGACTGATAAGGAAGCTCTCTAAAATGTTAATCCTGTCTTCTCAGATTACAGGCGCTCTGAATAAAGCCGCACAAAGATTCACCCTGTCTCTGCTCATTGGCATTTGTGCCAGTCGGCTGCATATACACTGATAGTCTGGTGAGAATTATTTTCCCTGTAAGTTTTCTCAGCCTGTGACTTTGCTAGACCCCAATTTTAAGTGGTGATTCAGTTTGCCGTAACTGAAATTCAAGCCCTGCCATTTCCTGGCTGTGTACATTTAGCAAACTATTTAATCCAACATCCTGCCACTTTCCCTTCTGCAAGGCCAACATCTTTGCTTAAATGTTAATTAAAATTAATATTTTTTTTCTTATCCTACCTTTGTACTTTTATTTCTCGTCTTAATTTTAACTAATTGAGAAAATAATTCTTTTTTTTAATTTGGCTCTTTCTCCACCATTCCTCTCCACTTCCCTCTCCCCACCCAAACTAAGATAAAAACTGCCTATTTTGCTGTCTATAATGCATCATTAAGGTGACATTTTCCACAGCTGGTTTTTTTTCTCTACCTTTCCTATTACTATTGTTTTTGTGTGACATCCAGAGATGTGCCCATGAATGGGATAATTTCGGTGAGATCTACATTTCATACCAATTGTTCAATAGTAAATTAGGCATTGTAGAAGTACATAGTAACAACATTATTGCTACAGAGTGGACACATGGAGAGTCTTTCCTAAGGAAAAAAAAAACATTACGAATCAAGCAAGCAAAACATTAAGCCAATGGTTGTTTCAAGTGTTCATTATTAAATATAATTAGGATATTAATATTCCCATTGCAATGAATGGTTGAATTTTGGCATATCAACTAAATACAGTAAGATCAGAAACATGAGTGGCATTTAGTTTTCATTGAATCTAGGACTATAGGTTATAAATTAAACATTATCTTATGTCTTATACACTTGTGCCCTATTCCATAGTGAGATTTGGCTGTATTAGAAAACACACTGAGACTAAAATCAGGCCACAACATATGTTCTCATAGTTTTGACTCTTTTTCTATTCACAAATGGCATTACATTTGACAATCTAATTTATAAGTCTTTAAGGATTTATATCTATGTACATTTCAAGGAATATATCAGGTACCTTAAATAATTTGAATGGACAAAACTTAAAATTACAGTAATAAACCCAGAAAATGTATTTTGTCTATGAAAGTGGTTATTATCTTTATCTTATCCAGAATCCAAAAAATGTAGGCAACCTGCCCTGAAATTGTACCCCAAACATTTTTTAACAGTGAAATCCATAATTGAACTTGTAAAAAGGTTTTCACACTGTTATTTGGATGAGTGAAGTAAGAACTGGTAATTTGGTCACTCTTTGGATGTCCTCCAACACTGTAACAAGTGTCCATTGTAGACTGGTTACTATAAAACTTGAGGTACATCAAGACCCAGTTACTAAAAGGTTCTATGTTTATTTTTCAATCCATAATCACCCGGGTCTCTCATAAGAAAAACAAGTCAAAAGATCAAACTATTTGTTATGATGATCATCACCATCATCAGAATAAGTTTTCATCATCAAAATTTGAAAAATTCTCATGATGACTGCAGAGCAGAATGCTAAGTCTGCATTGTTCTCTTGAATTGTTTTAGTGAGGAGCAAAGACTAGCATTCAGGAGTGGAGGTGAATCACCACAATATGTCAGAGAGCTACAACTTTCCTTCAGCCCCTTGAGTGTTCTCTGAAAGGGAAGCAGAAAGAATGTCTCGTCTGGTCCACTGATGGCCATTTATTCATATAGTGCAGAAAGAAGTAATGGTCAAACTATTTTAAAATGCATCTATTTTGTCTGCTTATCAGAACAAAATAAATAAGAAAATCTCTGCTGGATAGAATAAAAAGACTGAATTGCCTGAAACTGATCGTAATACATTCTGAAAATGCATTCAATCAATTGAAAATAGCTTTTTTCATCCTCAGTGGAGAGTAGTAAAGGTGCTTAACATTAAGTATTTATAAACTTTATGGGCTCAGAAGGACTAATGTTGAGCTCTAGCCATGAAAGGGCAGCTATCCCTACCTAATCTGTGGCTACACACAATTCCACGAGGGATGATACATCATGCCATGCTAGAAAACAGCAAAACCTAGAGTCAAACAAACATGGCCTTGGATTGTACCTCTAGAAATTATTAGCTGTCTAACCTTGGTGGTTATATTTGGGAATCTGATTTTACTGGAGCACTGTTATGAGGATTAGAAGACCTAACTAGTTTGTATGTGCTCCTTGAATGCTAGTTTTTTTTTTTTTCCTTATGTGGCACACACAAAATGTAAACAGGACGTACAGCCACTGTTAATAACTCTCCTCTCAACTTCCTTTACAGCAAAGAAGACATTTGGGAATAAATATCTACCATTTGGCATGTAGCAGAATTCCTAAGGAAATATTGATTTTTTTCCTCTTTTGATTAATTAAGGATTCTTCCAAGTCCTTACAGTTTTCAGAAATTGAGAATCACAGTCAAGTAGCATTTTCAAAAATATTTACATGAAATTCATTTCCACTGACTTAAAAAAACATTAGCATACGCTATTCTCCTAGGCCATGCTGTTGACACAAGAGGAAAATCTACTAACTGAAAACAACAACAATAAAACCTCTATTTCTGAAATGTGTTGTGATATTTGGGTTTTCTCCACAGTAGTTACATGAACTCCCTTTGAAGGTTACACCATCATAAGTTGGCATGGGTTCCATATTTCAGTCTCAGTAAAACTTTTTGAGCATTTATATTGTAAATGTTTTTATTTCCTCAGATGATAGGATGAGACAAGCTGTGCCCAAGTTTTACTAATAGATGGCCTGGGCTGAGCCCAGAGTATTTCTATCCAAATATCTCTAGGCCTAAGCCTGGAAGCTTCTGGCCTCCATACAATTTGATCTTCTGCAAGCTTGGACCTTGAAGGCTTCAGCCTCAGCCTCCATCTGCTCATCGACGCCAAGAACATTTTCAGCCTCTGAGACTTATTGCTGAACAAGCTTACCCTTTATAGTTCTTTCTGAACTCTGGCTCATGTGTTCAACTCAACTCTTCTGGCTCAAAACTCCTCTCCAAGATAACTGATTCAAAGAGACTTCTCCGTTTCTCACTGAATTGCTCTACCTGGAAAAGCTGCCTCTGAATTCCATGAACTGAACTGCAAAATTAAACTGCATAGAACTGCAGCGAACTATACTGTGCTCCTGAACTCTACTGTAATGTCTCCACAAATTCTCTTGCCCTCTCTCTAGGCTGCTTTTTAAATTTTTTATTTTTGTTTTTCTAGACAGGATCTCTCTGTGTAGCCCTGGCCGTCCTGGCCTTTATAGACCAGGTTGGTCTCCAACTCATGAAGTTGGGCTTACAGCGGTGCGCCAATGCGCCCAGCCTGAGCTGTTCTTAGGTAGCCTCTTTCCTGTCTGTTCTCATGAATTGGGCATTTCCTATCTCTGAGTTATTCTGACAGATCTTTCTCTGATTCATCACTTTGTCTGAGCCTCAATTAGAGGTCATTGTTTGGGATTAAAGGTGTGTACCAAACCTGTGTTAGTATTCTAGCCAGAGGAATTAAAGGTATGTCGTTTATATTCTAGCCAGAAGGATAAAAGGTGTATACTAACGGTGTGTCTGTGTTCCAGGTAAATCACACAGACTTTGGTCTTTGGGTGTGATCCTTTGCCAGAGTAGCTATGTTGCAGGATGAGAATTCTTCTACATTCTACTCATGCATTTTTGATTGATCTGATCCAGAGGCAAGTTTATTCATAGCATTTCACACCTAATAAGTCCAGTTGTTCTTGGGTGGTCTGTATAATGCTACCTTGGGGAATCCACCAGCACAAGCGAGAGCTATAGCTTAATAAAAGCACTGCCAAAAAGACCAAGCTTGCCAGCCAACAGGCCCCAGGAATTTGCCCATCTCTTTCTCCCCACCCCTTAGATCAGACCACCACACCTGCCCCTCATTCTCACAGATGGGCCGTGAGAATCAAACTTGCAAGGGAAACATTGTACTAAATGAGGGGCCTCCACAGCCTCTGCAGCCCTACATTTTAAGAGAGGTGGCTAAAAACCCGTTTGTTCTGTAACTCAAATACTTTTGCTCTAATGTTAGGAGTAGAAACCAGGGTCTGTGGTTGAGGTGAGGCCCAACTGCAGAGCATTTTCTCCAACTCCATGAAGTTGTCCTTTGATGTTCACATGTGTGCCAGGGTGTTTACACACATACATCAAATATACACATTAAAAATATTTTATAGAAAAGAATAATCAAGTGGGACCTGGTTAGGGTTAGCCTAAGCAACTCGGTAGAAAGAGTTATACTTTTGT